TATTAATTTCTTTTTTCTTTTTTTTTTTTTGGGGGGGGGGTGGTGGTTCGAGACAGGGTTTCTCTGTGTAGCCCTGGCTGTCCTGTCTTAGAACTCACTCTGTAGACCAGGCTGGCCTCAAACTCAGAAATCTACCTGCATGTGCCACCACTGCCTGGCCCTGGCCTCCTTTCAACTTAGTTGGTAAAACTAAGAGTGGGGAGATCATCTAGATTTACTTCTTAGTGGGCTAGCCCAAGAGGAGATGCGTTTGACTTTATCATTCAGCATTGCAGCAGCTCAGGCCTAATGTGTTTGTTTTATTCTCCTAGTCAAGTAAACAACCCAGATGCCAGTGATCAGAAGCCTGAGACATCCAGTCTTGCGTCAAATCTCAGCATGTCAGAGGAAAGTAAGTACCATGTTTTATGCACAGTGGCTGTAGTATTTCTATAACCAAATGATCTTATTCTTGTGTAATTGGGTTTCACTGAGTGTCTGGGTTGTCCAGAATATCTAGAAGGCTCTTCTCCTTCTGTTCACAGTATACTGGGATAAGCATCTTTAATATACCAGCTGAGGACAAGCCTCATGGATGGATTCATCCAGGAATCATACTCAGTGACTTTATTTTTGTTTGCAGGTTGAACTTCTAAAAGTAGTAGCATTTTATTAGAAATCAAAAAAGTAGTGGGCTAATGCCAGACTGTTCCTCAAGAGCATTAAAACAAAAACTTAAAACCAAGTAATCTTACCTATCAGTCTTTAATGTTCCTTATATTTTTTTCGTTCTAAACCCCGACCCTAGTTTAATTCAACTCTCTCTCTTCTCTGTAAGTGTGTACAAATAACTAAGCTCTATTGGATAGAATTATATACTTTATTGAGTAGTTACTGCTAGTCATAACCACAGGGCTTCAGGTGAGTACTCTGTGGAAAGTCTTCATTTCTCTAATGAGAGTTTCCATTTAACTTACAGCTCTTCTTTCAAAACCTCAGGATGCACTCACCTTTTCTTCATGCTTAACTTTTGTCTTCTCAAAGAAAAGTTCTACACAAGTAGCTCCCTTATGACACTACCCCACCTCCAGGCTTCTCTGTGTTTGTACCCAGACTGTCTTGTGTCCTCCTTGTTAGAACTGAAGGGATTCTTGCTCTTGTTAACTGTAAGTCCTTATATTTGCATTCTGTGTCCTCTCTAGCCTTCCCCAAGGTATGATTTGGCGTGATGCTTATCTCACCTCCACTCCTGCATATCACATTCTTCTTCTTAATTCTTCTCTCCTAGAGACACATGCTCTGGTAGCTACCATCTTTGATGATATACAGGTTTTCTCTGTGTTTCATTATACGTCTGAACCTCTGAAAAGAATTGCTTCTGCTTGCTTCCCTCTGTCAGTTGACTCTTCAGTTGGTTGACTTAGCTTCTGTTTTCTCTCTTCCTGTGAAACTGATTAGCAAGATCCTCGATTGCTGTCATAGTGCGAATTCTAGTAGACGTTTCTCTCTCCTCATAGTCTGTCTCAGCACGTTTCCTCTCACTTTTCTTCCCTGATGAACCTTCTTCTAGCTGTGCTTGAATGCCAGCTTCCATCCATTACATTACATTCCTAACAAATACCTAATTCATTCATTAAGGGTTTCTCTATGTAGCCCTGGCTACCCTGGAACTTGTTAGGTAGACCAGGCTGGCCTTGAACTCACAGAGATCTCACCTGCCTTTGTTTCCTGAGTGCTTGTATTAAAAGTATGGAGCATCATGCCCAAATATCACATTTTATTTCCTGTGTGATTTCTCTGATTTCATTTGTGTATCTAACCGCCTACTTGAAATCTCTAGTGTCTGAAAGCAAAGTCATATATAATATGTAAGAAGATTTTTTTTTTTAAGCTAATCAGATCTTCTCCCAAACATCCCCATCCTAGGATGTTGTATCACTGTCTAAAAGAAAAACTGGAAAGTCATCCTGCGCTTCCTTGTCTTCCTTACTTTATACATCCGAGCTGATGAGATGGTGTGCTGGTTATACCTCTGCTCTTTGCCTCATCTTCACCATTGTTACTGTACCCCAAAACAATGTACTACTTTAAACCCTCTACTGTATGATATCAAGTTATGCCCTGACTTTCTAATTCATCACTGATCCAGATACTGCCAAACTCCAGGTTTAGTCTGTCATTGGGGGAGGGGTAGATAAGGGTTTGGGTACCTGTCAGTGGAGAGGAAACCATCTTACAGAATTTGAATTACCCTAGTCTATGTCCCATGATGGATAAAATATTCATATTTAATTGAGATCGCCGTCATTTCTGTTAATCTGAATATAGATAAGAGTGATCTTTAAGCTTTTAATAATCTTTTAAAGACCTCAAACAATGGCATTGGACAAGATCTTTTATAATAAACTCATAGTTGTTAGTTTGTTTTTCTCCTGGATGTGAAATGGCCCCTAATCTTCTCCTGACGTTTCCTTTCTGTACAAGATACTCTTCCAGGGAATCTAGCTTAGATATAAGCCAGATGTTCCTCTTCAGTCCATCTTGGCAACAGACAAGCTCCTTTCATGATGTTAAAGAAAGTCAGAACAGGGCAGGGGTCTGGCCAAGCATTTATGGTGCAGCTCTGTGTATAATGAACTGCAGTGGAGCCTAACGAGTGGCTTTCTATACTGCTCAGTCTTGAGCCACATATTTATAGATTTATAGACTTTATCCCAGTTTTGATTGTAAGGGTCAAGCTTTCATTGCAGCTTTTTCTAGATAAAGTCATGGAGGGCAAGAGGGCACCAGGTGGGAAAGGACCTCACTGTGTGAGTCTCGAACATCTGGGTGGCCAGACTTAAAGCCTTTAGTATAGAACAGAAAGTAATAATACAAAAACCTGCTCCCTGACTGGAGAGATGGCTCAGCAGTTAAGAGCACTGACTGCTCGCCCAGAGGTCCTGAGTTCAATTCCCAGCAACCACATGGTGGCTCACAACTATCTGTAATGGGATCTGTTGCCCTCTTCTGGTGTGTCTGAAGACAATGATGGTGTACTCACATACATAAAATTTAAAAAAAAAAAAAAAAAACAACCATTCCCCTGGGGGGTTGGAGAGATGGCTCAGTGGTTAAGAACACTGAGTGCTTTTCCAGAGGTCCTGAGTTCAATTCCCAGCAACCACATGGTGGCTCACAACCATCTTCTGGCTCGTCTAAGAGAGCGACAGTGTACTCATATACATAAAATAAACAAATACATCTTTTAAAAACAAAACAAAAAAACCCTGCTCCCATCTGTGCTGCTGTTGATCTACATACCAATAGAATGAGATTGGAAACTTCTACCAACCTGTCTCTCACTTGCCATTCTTGGGGCTTTTCACTTAGGGTAAGCATCCAGAGTCTGGGGACATCAAGGAAGCACTGTGTGATTTCTTGGATATGGGTTTAGCTTTCTAAGTTTGTCAGTGAGCATAGCTGAGAGCCTGGGAGGTTTGCTTTATAGATAGTTGAGGTCAGTAACAAGAAAGTAAAGATTAGTTTGTTACCTTCAGATGTTTTCCATGTCCCATCTATCCCCCTCCATCCTGTCTTGCTTCTTTTACTGCCTCTTAAACTCTACAGACAGGTCTGTAAATGTAGAAATGAGGTGTTTTCTCTGCACTCTTGGAAATTTTTTGGCATCCAGTCTGTGTGTTATTCACCTTAAAGAACTATATAGTAAGATATAAATTTTTCATTTACTTTTTTAAATGTTCTAACTTTTTTAACCTAATAATATCTTTCTTTCAGTTATGACATGCACCGATTACATCCCTCGCTCATCCAATGATTATACCTCACAAATGTATTCTGCAAAGTAAGTTGAATAATTACTTCCAAACTTTTCTCTAGGCTCATTACAAATTTAATGTTTAACTTTTTCACCGCCCTTGTTCTGCCTTTACTCCAGTTTTTTTTTTTTTTTTTTTTTTTTTGGTTTGTTTTTTTGAGACAGGGTTTCTCTGTGTAGCCCTGGCTGTCCTGGAACTCACTCTGTAGACCAGGCTGGCCTAGAACTCAGAAATCCGCCTGCCTCTGCCTCCCAAGTGCTGGGATTACAGGCGTGCGCCACCACCGCCCGGCTTTACTCCAGTTTCTATCACATCTAAATGTACTCTATTTATCATCCTTTAAAATATCAAGTGGTTTTTGGAATCCATCACGTTTACGTAGGAACCCACTACTCAAGTAGGCACTCTTGTGGTCTCTGACCCTTTCTCTACATTGACATATACATCAGTAAAAACAGCTCAACAGCACTGCAGATAGGCAACTGCAAACCGTGGAGCTTGAACCGGGGCAAGTGTAATGGATTGAAGTTACAAAGAGGTGCATTTTAGGCCTTCACGGTATAAGGCCCGTGTTTGCCAACAACCAGTTTAATCACCTTTAAGGTGGGTAGGGTCCAGAACAACGTCTGTACCAAGTTGCAGTTGTGTATTAATGAAGAGTGGGCCTGTGCCCGTATACAGACATAAATGACTGCATCCATTAAACCAGTTTGTTTGTATGCGAGATTCATGAAGACATTTGTTGCAGAGGTGAGGGATCCCTAGAAGGCTGTTAGGAAAGGAAGCTATCATTTGTTTTCCTTGGTAAGCCATTCACTTCACCTTTACTTACGTAAACTAGCTCAATTTCTCCACATTCTGATGTTAATACTAATGTCTGCTCCGGCCAGTAATTGTCATGTGGTTTTCTTCTGTACTGTGATTAACACTGTCTGGAAGCATCATGGGGAGATTTTACATGCCATAGAAGTGTTCACCCTTCTGACATGTTATCTGTAAATGTACTAGGTCTTATTCAGAGCTATCCTGGGATGAATTCAGCCTTCAGGTCACAGATTCAGACACATGTATGTTAGATACTAAATGGTGAAACACATCAGATCCACAAACTTTCTGCTATCTACGTTGTACTCTGTTATTTAGCTTCAAAGACTAAAGATTGAGATAATGAATCTTCTTTTTTTTTATTTTTGAAATATTCTAACTAACCTGGTAGTATTTTCTGTAAAGCATGGGAAAGGAGAGTTTGTTCTTTGCAATATCTGGAAATTAACTGTTTTTGAGACACTATTTCAAAGTAAACTTATGTGACTAAAGTAGCAACTCTTGTCTAAATTATCTCGCAGGCTTAGATCTAGCTAATGCAAGTCTCAGTCTATTGAAACATGAGTATGTTGCATACAGCAAATCCATCCCTGTGTGTGCACAGTTGTTGCACTCAGACACTTTATTCAGGTGTGCCATCTGCCTTCATCCTTACCCCCTCACCACTTACTGGAACCATTGCGTTAATCTCCTTGTTTAACCAGACCTGGATTTTTATGCACTTCTAATCCAGTTAAGAAAGCAGTGAGTCTAGGGCCTTCCAGTTGTTTTGGATTTGTCTGAACTCTAGCCTGGCACTGAGGGTCACACTCCTCTCTTTCTCCTTTTTGCATGTTCCTGTCCTTTCCTAGTGTACCTCCATTAGGATTAGTGTAAGGCTTCCTCCTGGACACTGAAGTCCTTGCCTCCTCTCTGCTCCTTTGCCAGGGCTTTATTCTTGCCCTGGAACCCTCTGTCTCTATTTTGTGGGCGGCTCATCTACTCAGTTCACAGGCTAGCTCTTTCTAGTCTTCCTTTATTATCTGCTCCCAAAGATGCTTTTTTTTTGGGGGGGGGGGGTGTGGAGGGGAATCTTTTCCCTTCTTAAGATATATCCCTTCTGCCCTATGTTAGTTATTAAAACTTTGATGATATATAATAGCACTTTTTCATACAACCTAATATGCCAAATAAAATAAGTAGAAGTTACATATGTAGGGTAATATAGGGTATAATAGAATGGATATCTACAAGTCAGCAAGCCAGGGTGCAGTTTTGTGGTTTCACTAGTGATGTTGATTCCTGACTGTCCCTGGTATGGCTGCCACCAATTAGTGGCAGCATGCTGAAGCTTTAAGTGACTTCCATGGTCTAATATCGAAGCTGGCTCCTACTTCACAGACAAGTTGAGGATACTGGAACACATCTCTACTCCCTGGGTTTTTTTCAAAATATGTTTTGTTTTTTGTTTTCTTGAGACAGTTTCCCTGCGTACCTCTGGCTGTCCTGGAACTCACTCTGTAGACCAGGCTGGCCTTAAACTCAGAACTCCAAATGCCTCTGCCTCCCAAGTGCTGGGACTAAAGGGGTGTGCCATCGCCTAGCTACCCTGTTTTTTGATGTGGTTGCTTGTCCCTGCTCCATCAGCTCCGCTTTCCTTGTCTTAGAACTGCAGTTGGCCCAGGGTCTGGGTGATGAATAGAGCTAGTTGCTAATTCTGTTCAGTCCATTCTTCATTGTCCTAAAGTGTTGCTTTTGATTTGTTTTTTGAGAAAGCATCTTAAGTAGCTGGCCTCAAACTCATTAAATAGTCAAGGATGACTGAATTCACTCTGTAGTGAAGGGTGGCCTTGAACTCCTGATCCTTATGCCTCCCCCTCCCAAGTTCTGGTATAGCAGACTTGAGCCACGATGTCTGGTGTCTGTGGTGTTAAGAATCAGAAGAGTGCTAGGCAAGTGCTCTATCAGCTGTCCTGTCTCCAGCCCAGACTTTAGGCATTATCCAAACACAGGGTATGACTAAGTCAGCCTTGTGTCTCATTTAGGACCTTCCATGTAACACATTTATTCCATGTAGGGTAATAGCTAGAACTTGGGAAAATGTTTGAGACTTTTATTTTCCATAAAATTATTCTTTGGAAAGATTGATAATGGAACCTGAAAAAGGGCCAATCTTGTGTTTTCTGTCCATTGATAAAGTTATTTTACTGTTGAAAGTTAATCTCAGTCCTGGATTCTTTGTTTCAGTGATGTTAACTGATTTGCCCATTCTCATTAATTAAGTGGGCTGCATATGGAAATTTTCATTTTCTTGGTTTTCCTAGACCTTATGCACACATCCTCTCTGTTCCTGTTTCGGAAACCACTTATCCTGGGCAGACTCAGTACCAGACCCTGCAGCAGTCTCAACCCTACGCTGTCTACCCTCAGGCAACCCAGACATACGGACTACCTCCTTTCGGTGAGCTATCCTAGTGTGAGAAGTTCTTAAGAATGTGTTCATCAATCAGAAATATCTGTCCTTGCCTGGAGAGCAAGCACGGCTGGTCAGGAGTGTTTACTTAATCGGTGTTTCATAGAAGTTATGTTTACAGTTTGCCATAATTATTCAGTTACCCATCAAAATTTGATTCTTTCCAAGCTCTTAACTCTGAAACTTGGATCATGTCCCCCATTCCCCCCAAGCTCAGGCACTCCTGTCATGCTAGGTCCTCTTACACTGAGCTCTGCTTTCTGACCTTTGGCTTATTGAAGCAGAATCTTGCTACATTAGTTCAGTCTGGCCTTGGACTTGCTGTGTAGCCAGTGCTAGCTTGGAAGTTTCAATACTCCTCCCTCAACTTCCTGAATCCCAGGGTTACAGGTGTGTAATGTCACACCCAGCCAGAAGCGTGGAATCACTGTTTGGGAAACTAGCCGGGCAGTGGTGGCGCACGCCTTTAATCTCAGCACTTGGGAGGCAGAGGCAGGCGGATTTCTGAGTTTGAGGCCAGCCTGGTCTACAGAGTGAGTTCCAGGACAGCCAGGGCTATACAGAGAAACCCTGCCTGGAAAAACAAAAAACCCAAAAAACAAAAAACATTGTTTGGGAAACTGACTTGACGTACCTTACATAGACATAGTGTCATGCTAAGGTAAACATAAGAAATATATTCTGAGGTGGCCAATTTCAGCTAAAACTAGTAAGTCTAAATATTCAGCTAGACTGTGTCTCACAGTAGGGTTTTGTTTATCGTTGTTTTCTGGTTTTGTTTTTGCTTTTTTGTTTGTTTGTTTATTTGTTTTAGTTTTGTTTTGGCTAATTTCTCCTCTCTTCTCCCACCACTCAGTCCCCAAATTAATCATATGTTGTTCTGATGAGCCAAAAGTGCTCTTAGGATGGAGGACATCTGAAGTTATGTGATAGGGAGTTGTTTTCATTAGTTGTATGTATCTTGGATATAAACTGTTAATCAAAATGATTTATTGGAAGTTAGCTTGAGGTTATTTGAACATGTAAGATCTGTGGCAAATTTTCTATACATGTATAAATTTATGGATATGTACAATATATTTATTGTTCCTCTGTTTTAACACTGATAATATTAAATATTAATAGTAAATAAATTAATAATAATATTAAAATGAATTTTAATATTAATTTAACTTACTATATTAAATGTTATGTTCTGGGGGGCTGGAGGTGTATCTTAGCAGTTAAGAGCACTTAGTGCTCTTGCCGAAGGCCCAGATTCAGTTGCCAGTATCCGTAGTTCACGTCTTTCTGTGACTCTAGGATTCAGCTACCATCTTCTCTAGCCTGCTTGGGCACCAGGCATACATGTAGATATATATGAAAGCAAAATGCTCATATACATAGATACATAAAATTTTTTTTTTTTAGTTAAAAAAGTTACGTCTTTGAGATATCATTTAGACAAACTAAGGATTTTTTTTTTTTAAACTTCTAGAGAAATTATTACCTAGATTCTGGGCATTTTGATGTTACCTGCTTTTAGTTTCTCCATATCTACTTTTTGGCCAGTGTCACGTGTTAACTGACAGCTGTCTCACATTTAGGCTTCATAGCCTTCCTTGGCTCTTTGGTAAATGCTAAAAAGAATTGAAGGTGTTTGCATACTTGCTCGTTTTGCTGTCTGAGGATCTGTCACATGGCCTTTCGCATCCTACATAAGCATGTGGTCCACCTCAGTCAAAACACTTTCTCTAATAAGATAGTGGGGGTTTTTTTGTTTTGTTTTTGTTTTTTTTTCACCTTCCCTTCTTTCTCTTGCTTTGGCCCCGCTCGCTCTACACCCCCCTTACTCCAGGGCCACTCGCTCTGGCCCTGCTGGCTCCAGCCCAAAGTACACTGTAGCTGTCTTCAGACACCCATGTGAGGGCATCAGATCTCATTACGGATGATTGTAAACCACCATGTGGTTGCTAGAATTTGAACACATGACCTCCTGAAGAGCAGTCAGTGCCCTTAACCGCTGAGCCATCTCTCCAGCCTGAGATAGTGTTTTATAGCTAGGCTGACTTCTAATCCTAAATCCTCATGCCTCAGCTTCCCAGGTGCCGGAATTATAGGCATGTACTGCCACATATGACTCCTAGATGGTAATAATTCATAGCAGGGTCTCCCTGTGTCCCTGGAAGCTTGGTGATCCTCTTGCTACAGACTTCCTGAAGTGCTGAAGACACCTGGCTTGCACCACCTCACCCAGCTATGTGTGGTTATCTCTTTTCTTTTATATAAAATAATTTTTAAAAGTCTATTTATATATTTTTTGTATATGGGTGCTTGTCTGCATGTATATCTGCATTCCAGAAGAGAGCATTGGGTCCCATGGGACTACAGTTGCAGACGGTTGTAAGCCCAAGTAGGTGCTGGGACTTGAACTCAGGACTACTAGAAGAATAGCCAGTGCTCTTAATTGCTGAGCCATTTCTCCAGCCCTGTGGTTATCTATTATTTCATATATTAAGCTAAGTTTTCCTCAGATGGCTCATAATAGGCTAGCAGTTGTACAGTAATTATTTTCATATTTTTTTCTCATTCTTTCTGATCAAAATTTGTGATTAGGAAGCCCAAGCTCTATAACACACTGAATAGTTGATCCCATTTGTTGTTGAATGATAACGTGTTTTTCTTACCTCAAACACAATAAAAGACCTCACAAGGTGCTCCTTGCGTCCCTTATATAACAGTGTCCTTTAGAGTCATCACCTCTCTCACATTAAAAAGTCATGTAGATAGAAGTCTGTTGAGAACTTTGAGAAAGTATTGTGTTATAATGAATAATTGGTAATTATGAATGTTTGTAATTTGTTTATTGTAGTTCCAGGCAAGAGAAACTTACATTGCATAGATTATCCTGTGAGTAAATGAGAGAAAAAAAATCAGTTAATTATTTTGACTTGATTTGACTTTAAGTAATTGTCAACTTTTCAGCTGAGTTATCCAGAACTCCTGCTAGACCTGGGATCAGAGAGGACCTGAAAGCATGGGGCAGTTATAGTCCAGTGCAGTAGACAGTTGTTCTTTAGTTTCAGTGTACTTCCATACACCGGAGTAGCAACGAAAGCAATGGTCCAAGGAAGGTTAAGTTCAGGAAACCATGTAAATACATGCCAACAAGCATGTGCTAAATATTAACAGAGCAGCCCCTTCCCAGGACTGTCTGAGAACAAAGCAGTTGAACCTCAGTTGTCTTACACATACTATAAAAAGCACAAAGGTAGAAAGCCATACTAGATTCAAGGTACACTGACCAGATTGGGTCCTATAGCTATATTCTGACATCCGACAAGAATAAATATGTCTTATAAATTAAATGTAAATGTTTAACACAGGAGGTATGTAATCAAGGTCAAGAACAATCCAGGAAACAAAATGCACCTGAAGTAAAAAGTCCTCTGCCTTGTTTCGTGGAACTTCTCTCACAGTTCCCCAAGGCATTGCTCACCAGGTTTTGATAAGTAGTATGTGAGACTTACTGATAAAGAGATTTAGGTTAGGGGCAATATATATGGTAGATATATTTTCTTCCATTTTTCCAGAGAAGTTTTAGGAAATGTTTGGTGTGTGTGTGTGTGTGTGTGTGTGTGTGTGTGTGTGTGTGGTGTGCAATATGTGTGTGTGCAGGTGCAGGTGAAAGGTCATTAAATAACCTCCTCTGTCACTCTGTCTCATCCCCTTGAGACAGTCTCTCCTGAACCTGGATTCTGCGACTTGGGGTAGGCTGACAGTCAGCAAAGCCCAACAATCTTCCTGTCTTCACCCAGTATCACCATGAGACCAGGTACAGACTGGAACCATGCCTAGATTGTTAGGTGGGTGCTGGGATGCAAACTCAGGTCCTACTGATTGAATAGCAAAGCAAGCCCTGGCCCTGTTTGTAATATTTCTTAAGGTTATTGTAATATTTCTTAAGGTTATTTTATCTGTTTTGTTTCAAGTTTTTTTATGTTGTGTGCCTGTAACTGAGTGCAGGCACAAGTGTGAGAGGCAGTTCTGTGTTGCCACCTTGTGGATCTGGGGGAACCAAACACATGTTGTCAGGCCTGCATGCAAGTGCCTCTAAGCTACCTCACCAGCCTTATGTTCTGTCTTTTGGGTCAGGCTGGCTTTGAATTCTGTGTATATTTTAATCTGCCTTTAACTCCTAATCCTCCTGCCTCCGCTTATCAGATGCTGGGACAGCAGGCATGTGCCACAGTGTCTTTAACAGTCATTTACTTGGGACTTCCAGGATAACTCAGCAGGTGAAGGCTCTTGAAGTACCAGTCTGACAACCTGAGTTCAACCCCTGGAGCTCATAGACAGGTGCAAGGAGAGAACCAGCTCCACAGAGATGACTGTGCCACCCACAAGTTACATTGTGTTTTACAGAGTGTGTATACATGAGTACAGCACTAAGTAAATACTGTTTTCATATGTTCATTTACATATGAGAAACCACTTCTTTTGGAGTCAGAGTTTTAGTCTCTGTTGTTATCTTAGTGCTGTCTTTAGGGTAACTATGTCTGTTACTATAATTCAGCTATAATAGACTTTGGAAAATATCATTATAATTATAGCCAGCCATGGTGGCCCACTCCTGTAATTACAGTACTTGAGAAAGGGAGGCAGGAACATTGCCATGAGTTTGAGGTTAGCCTGGGCTACATCTAACCCTGACTCAAAAAGCAAACAAAAAGTCTATAAAAACCCTAAATAAATAAACTTTTATTATAATTATACTTTTAAATATTCACTGTATCAAGCAATAGGTTATAATAGGATTTGACATTTTATATTATTGTCTCATTTAATCCTTAAGCAGACCTTAGATGTAAGAAGTAGCATTTGTCCCGCTAAAGCAGCTTAGAGTTGGTCGGGTCATTGTCCCAAAGACTCATAAAATTAGTAAATGCTTAGGAGTACATTTAAGCTGTGGTCTACTAAATTTTCCCAAATTTTTGTCTGTATCAAAAACATGGTCTCATTGTTCATCAAAAAGTGTCCACTTTTAAAATGTGGGGAAAAAAACCTAGAAGAACTATAGCAAGGTAGTTAGAAGTAACCTACTCATCTTCCAGAGCCTCACAGTCTGACTGGAACCAGCGCTCATCTGATTCATTGATGAGCTTTGCTGTGGGTGGGAGACTTAGAGATGCATGGTAGAGTTCATTCCATTTCCCACGGCAGATTAGGCTCGAGAAATCTATTCCTGTGGGACTACTTGGAGCTACAAAGAATTGTTACCAAAGATGCTCATAGCAGCATTATTTATAGCAAAAGGACCTTAGAAACAGACATGGGGACTAGAAATTCTTACTTGGTGCATTGATGTTGATGAGATGTTGCTTTAATACTGTGTGCTAATAAACACGTTCATAAGTCTAAGACCTTAGGGTCTAAACCTACTTGGGAAATATAATCACATTGCTTAAAATAAATATGGAAGTTACTGTAATATGCAAGGGATAATATGCTTAACAAAAATATATAATACCAGACCACTAAGAATTATAGCACTGATTCTTAACCTTTTATGTGTAAATTTTAAAAAATAAAGTAGTGGCCCATAGAAATGCTTCATTTGAATCAGTATTTGCTTCTCAAGCATAAGGCTCTGAAGTCAGATTCCTAGGACCCATGTAGAAATGCTAGGTGTGGCAATGTGTATGCCTATAACCCCAGCACTAGAAGTTGGGGCACAGAGGCAAGGAGGATCACTACGGCTTGCTGGCTGTCAGCCTAACTCCATGTTCAACAAGAGACCCTGTCTCAAAGAGTAAGGCAGAGAGTGATGGAGCAGGACACCCTGAGAGATGTGGGTGATTCTTCTGCAGTCCATTAGTAGTTGTTATGTTTGGATGATAGAATCATGTATAACTTTTTTCCGTACATGTTATTTTGGTTTTGTTTTATACAATGTAATGCTATAAAGTATAGACAGTTAAAGTGTCAACAGCCTTGATATATATATATTTGGAGACATTGTCTCATGTAGCTGAGGATACCCTTAAAGTTGCTAGGTAGTCAGGATGTACCTTTACTTCTTGGGTGCTGGGGTTGTTGACATGTACCACCATGTTTACTCTGTGGTGGGATTGAAACCAGGGCATTGTATATGTTAAACAAGCTCTTTACTAACTGAACCACATCTGGGGCCTATGTAACGTTTTTGGGTTTTTTTTTTTTTTTTTTTTTTTTTTTGGCTTTTTGTTTTTTCGAGACAGGGTTTCTCTATGTAGCCCGGGCTGTCCTGGAACTCACTCTTGTAGACCAGGCTGGCCTCAAACTCAGAGATCCGCCTGCCTCTGCCTCCCAAGTGCTGGGATTAAAGGCGTGTGCCACCACTGCCTGGCCGTATGTAACGTTTTTTGTTTGTATGTTTTTAAAGCTGGCAGGTCTTTCCTAATATAGGAAACAAAGTTATAAAATAATCAGTTTAAGAAAAATTTATCTAAAGCATTTGAAAAACTTGTTTATTCTATGGGTAAGTAAATTTTAAGTTATGTAGGATATCTCTCAACTTAACAATTTGAATTTCTCATTGTACTGACATCAATAGTTCTTTCATACTCCAGGTTGGTGTACTCTTTTCTGAATCCTGGTCAATTGCTCATTGAAATAAAGGAATATATGTGCTACTGTTGGGATTTTAGCAGTTTTTGTTCCTATGGCTCCATCCTCTTAATTCTTTGAAAGTATGTTTGCTTGAGTTATAAGTGGGCGAATCAGTAATTTTCTCCTAGAAGCAAAGTTAAGATTTCGACTTGAAACCTACCAGCTGGTATTTAAAGCATAGCCGTGCTCCTCAGCCCAGTGTGTTGTTTGTAATTGGTCCACTTTATCATCTGATTCAGGTGCACTGTGGCCAGGTATGAAACCTGAAAGTGGTTTAATTCAGACTCCATCTCCAAGTCAACACAGTGTTCTTACCTGCACTACAGGGTTAACCACAAGCCAGCCAAGCTCAGCACATTATTCTTATTCCATTCAAGGTAAATAGGCATGGTTGTGTGTTTGTTATTTAACTTTTATCTTTTTTTTTTTAATTGCCCGTATATCCAAACAAACTGGATGATACAGGGGCACCATCTAAAGTAAAGGGAATGGCATGCGTTTGTGCATGCTTTTTGTGTTAGGCAAATCAGTGCAGTGTGGTTTGTAAGTAGCTTAGGCTTTGAATGCGAGCTGCTTTCTAGAAGTGAGGCCTTCTCTTGCATGCTGATACCTAGAAAGCTTCCCTCGGTTTTGTGCTAGTCTGTTCTCAGTGGCTTCTTCACATGGAAGTTGGCAGCTCCTTAAGTCAGAGTTTTGCTGGCTTCTATGTGAATTGTCAGTGGAATGTGCGATGTGGCTGCTTTTCTGCTGGTGGCTTTGTGACACCCATCCCATTGACTACTTCCTGGTGAGAGTATTTCTTTTGCTCACGGGGCGAGGGTATCGGTGAGTGGTGGAGTGCTTGCCTAGCATGTGTGAAGAAAAAAGAAAAGTTTATTTTGTTTCTATTCAGGGTGAAATTTAAACAACTTCACTTCCCTGAGTTCTCTGACAGGGTTAGAATTTAATAATCAGGATGAGTAGGCAGCAGGGCAGTGTGATGTTTGCTTGCCTACTCTCCCAAACCCACACTCTAGAGTGAAGAGCAGCGGCCATCGACCTGACTTCTCATCTGCCTCCATGCTTCTGTTTTGTTGTTGTTTGTTTGTTTATTTTATAGCTTGTTACATTTCATTCTTCATAAAATAAACTATGCAGATGGTGGCATATGCCTTTAGTCCCAACACTCAGGAGACAGAAACAGGTGGATCTCTTGAGGTCGAGGTCAGCCTGGTCTACAGAGTGAGTTCCAGGACTGCTAAAGCTACACAGAGAAACCCTGTGTTCAAAAAACAAACAAACAAAACCTCTAGAGGGATGAGTGTGGCCAATGACAACCTCTGTAGATAGGAACTTTGCTGATGAAAAAGATTTTTAGTCTTAACTGCTTTCGGTTCATTGATTTGGGACTTGTTTGATTCTGTAGTATCACCTCTAGGCCACTTTTGGTTTTTTTTGTTTTTGTTTTCTTAAGATTAATTTTATTTGTATATGTATATATGCGTGTGTATGAAAGTACCCACCTGGTGCTTACAGAGACTAGAAGATAGCCTGAGTTACAAGCTTTCGTGATCTGGCCAACGTGGGTGGTAGGAATAGAACTCAGGTCCACTGGGAAATCAGTGAGTCCCCTTAACCACTGAGTCATCCCTCCAGCCTCCTACTTGTCCTTAAGACCCAGGTCTAACCTACGTTTACCTCCAGTTTTCAGCGTCTCCTCATTTACACTTCATTCTTTCCTTGCCAGCTCCTCGGTTTTCTTTGTCCCTAACAGGAGCAACCCAGGAGGAACAAAACGTAAGGACATGATCCAGGCTCACCTTGAACCTGTGGGCCCAATCTAGGAGGAGCCTCCTAACCCAGCCTTTGCACCCATCTGGGAGTAGCACACAATACCTACCATTTCTAACTTTCGTTTTATTTTCAGTGTTTTTCTAAGACAATAGGTTTTGGGGATCAACTACAAGCAGTGAAGTACCAGGTCCCCCTTAGCTATATCCCTGTTTAGGGATACACATAGGTCATGAAGGAAGAGAAGGAAGAGTAAGGGTCCTGAGGTATAAAATCTCTACTCTTCTGTAGTTTTATCTTGAATTTAACACTTCTCTTCCCTTGCAGAATAAGTGAAGTAAAGGATTGCTTGACTTTCATTAACTACCGTCCTAACTTGTCATGTGTTGTGGATATGTTTTTTTCCTTTGAACCTGTTAACCTGTTTTTTTTAATTTTCTGTTAGTAGTAACTGCTGGTGTTTAGTGCTTGTAATTAAGTGCTGGGCCATTTTTCTGGCCCCCTTTAAAACTTGTAGATGAGTGTGGATATGTGCATGTGAGTGCATATGCCTTAGAGGCCAGGAGAGGGCATTGGATCTCCCGGACTGGAGTTACAGGCAGTTAGAAGCTGCCCAGAATACTTCCTGGGAACCTAATAAAGGTCCTCTGCACAGTAGTATGTGCTCTTATTTGCTGAGCCCTCTCCCCAGCCCTAACAGACTTTCTTGTTAGTATACTTTTAGACAGACAGACAATTGGGCAGAGAGTACACGGTTCTCCAATAATCTGTACTGCAAGGTTGAAGAGGGAGTGAACATGTCAGCAGTAACACAGACTCTATCCAGGGAAAGAACTGTGCAGAGTCCCTGATAGAAACCAGAGCTGTAGTCAGCTTACAGCTAGGGCATCTACATGGCAGTAAAGAGGGCAGAAGAGGACTGAAAAGAATTTTCAAGATATGGATTAACATCTCCCATGGCTAGCTGTACCAGGGGACCTTGGGGTGGGGGTGGGGAGTAAGAATCCAGAAAAATAAGTTACTTAGCTCTGGGAACCAAGTGATTTTAGTCCTTGGAATGGTTATTGCATAACTATTTACAAAGTGATGGGCTTCACAAGATGATGTGATTATCACTAATGTGATTATCACCCAACAATTTTCCCTACACTTAGCATCTTTTATGAGTATGCTACATTTGGTATGATTAATGAACTGGTATTAGAAGTGATGATCAGTTAAGGAGGTAACTTAATCAAATGGAAGACGTATCTTACATCTAATGGTCATGTCTCCCTAGATTCCGGTAAACTTTCTGCTCTGACATTTCTGATTCCATGAAGACCTGGGTGGCTTTGGGAATGCCCCTCTGTTAGAACTTATCTGATGTTTTATTTATGACTAGACTGGAATTACCAGTTTCTCGAAGCACAGATCACATTATCAGTGGTTGTGAGCCATCATGTGGTTGCTGAGAATTGAACTCATGACCTCTGAAAGAGCAGCCATTGCCCTTAACCACTGAGCCATCTCTCCAGCCCAAATGTAACTTTTAAAAAAGAAAATAAATGTGTGGAAACACATAAATGAATAAATAAATGTAATTTTTAGAAAAAGCAATGGAGCTAGCAGGATGGCTCAGTGGGTAAAATAACTTTTCTGTCATGGAAGCCATACAACCTGAGCTCAGTCTCCAGTGGAAATGGGAGGAGCTCCAGCTCCCTCCCACAAGTCGTCCTCTTACCTCCATTCTTAAATGATGGCACACATGTGGAAACACACACAAATAAGCCTGTGGGGTCCATTCTTTTTCAAACCACCATATATATACATGCAATACTACTAATAAAACATTTTTTAAAAAACAAGCTACAGGCACATTGCAACTATGTTGTCAGGTGTCATTTCTTTTAGATAATCTGTTAACAGAACAAGAAATATATGTGTGTCCTCTAACCTGTGTTAAGTACACGTATGTATTTTAAGTTAAATACATGAATCTTTATTGATTTCTCTGTCCCTAATCCATTATTACACAGCTTAGTTCAGACTCTATCCACTGCTGATGGAAATCTCTACTCCAGCATTTACTATGCATGGTTGTGCATGAAAGCATGTATGAGCATGTGCCCCAGCATGCATTTGGCGGTTGAAGGGCAACTTTGGATGTGAGTACTCTCATACCATGGTGGTTCCGGGGTTGAAGTCAGGTCCTCAGGTTTGGCAGCAAGTAGCTTTATCCACTGGATCACCTCACCAATCTTTGTTTAGGAGAAATTACTGTGATTTATTACTAAGCTTCTTGAGTACAGGGTTGTTTTTTGGTTTTTTTTTTGTTTTTGTTTTCCTTATATTTTTAAGTACATTTATATAGGCCACATGCCCATGTAATAGTACTTGCATTTAGTAGACAGTATGTGTTTGACAAATGAATGAATGATCAATGGCCCACCCAGTCAATATTAACCAAACCTGCAGTTTCTTACCAAAGGCTAGTACTTGGTTGAGTTTTTGTTAAGTATTTTGGTTACATACTGAGAATATGTAACTCTCCTAAGAGTAGGTAACCTGACTGTCAGCCTCTAACAGACAAAAAGACTTTTTCTTACCTACTGTGTTCAAGACTGAGTCTCAAAAATATTTATTAAGCCTCATCTTTTTTGTTTGGTTAGATGGTTTTGGTTTTTCAAGACAGGGTTTCTCTATATAGCCTTGGCTATCTTGCTCTGTAGACCAGGCTGGCCTCAAACTCAGAGATCAGCCTATCTCCTGAATACTGGGATTAGAAGAGTGTGCCACCACTTGCCCAGCTAAGCCTCACCTTTTTATGTGTTGGGGGACTCTGCTAGATGCTGGACATAATAAAACAGAAGGCATGTCCTCATGGAGCTTCCAGTCTGGTGGGAGAGTAGAAAACACAGTGAGCGAGTGAGACCTCCCTAAGTACTCTGAAGGAAGAAAGGGTACATTATCATGATGGACATTGTTGCTTTTATTACACCTACAGTTTAATATATGTCTGTAGGATGATTAGTAATTTTTTTATTCCTAACTTGTTAATCATAGTTCTTTATAGGGTAAAGCATATAGTGGTTGTATACGTTTAGGTAAATTAGCTTGGGCTCAGTGATAGTTATACAAACCTAAAATATACCACTTATTTTTTAGATTGAGGGTTATTAAATTTCTTTTATTTATTTTTTTTTTTTTGTTGGTTTGGGGGATTTTTAGATCTTATGAAGCCCACACTGGCCTTGAATTCACTGTGTCTATGAAGCTAGCCTTGAACTGATTCTCCTTTTCCCATCTTCTCAGTGTACCATGCTTGGCTGATTCTTACATTTCTGAAATTACTTTGCCAAAATTCTCCCATGTGTATAGTGACCGAGTATAATTGAGTCTGCACGTGTTCATTGTGAGTAGTAAAGACAGTGCTGGGCAGGAGAGAAGAACCTCAAGCCACACCCAAAGGAAAGGGAAGGTGGTCTGAAGTGACTGCTGGAAGAGCTCCCATTGGATGTCACTTTTGTTCAGTCTGTTCTGTTTCAAGCCTGCCTGGGATAATATATTGATTATATTCTGGAATTACCAGAAAGTCTTTTTCCACAAAATGATTAAAATTGCTTAGGAGTCATTTGCCCTGCGTACTGTTGTTGTTTGATGCTTCCTCTTAGGAAAACGAATGGATTAAGCTATAGCAGAGAAGAAAGTGACTGTCGATTGGAAGCACATACCATCTATAAGTTATTAAATGCGTTTCATTTATTTACATTTACGAAAGAAGCCAGTAAGACCTTTGTCCTAGCCCTGAGGCAGAGCACTGTAGATTTTAGGAGACTGAGTTCTTAGTTCAGCCAGTGACTGAGGAAACAACTCTAGGAGAGGAACTAGGAGATCCAGTTGACTTTTGACCACTGGGATTATCAACTGGACTGAACACAATGTCTGAACTCTTCTCTGGCCCAAGCTCTTCACGGGCTGAGCCTGTGGCAGGAGCGGTGACTGTCCTTGTCTAGATGTTACTTTCGGCACAGTGCCCTCCAGAACCTGATTCTAATCTGACCTGCGTTGTCCCTACTTCATTTTCCCGCATTCTGTTTTAGTAGAGATTTTCTTGCTAGCTTTCCCCTGGAGAACTTTGTGCTGGTCAGTTTTGTCCTTCTGGTGGGTAACTGCAGCGAGAACCATGTTTCTGTTTGTCCTAAGTGAGAGAGAATGTGAGTTCCAGGACAGCCATAGCTACACAGAGAAACCCTGTCTCGAAACCCCCCCCCCAAAAAAAAAAAAGTGAGAGAGAAGAGTTCAGAACTGGTGCCTGGCAATACTACTACCCTGTCTACCTGGGCAAAGCTCTGTGATATTTGCTAGTCACTGACTAAGTTTGGGGTCAGAACCTGATAGATTCTGTTACAAAAAGATGTAAAATATAAAGGCATTCCAAGTTGTTATCTGATAGAATACATTTTTACCTGACCAGATGAGATTTAATATCTTCTGAGTCTTTGCAGGTTTGCTGGTAAAGTTTCTAAATAACAAATCATAGTGGTATTAAAATTTATTATTACATCATTTGTGTGTGCGCATGTGTGTGTATGTGTACAAACACCCCAGTGCACATATGAGGGTCAGAGGACAACTAGTGGGAGTCAGACCTCTCCTTCCACCATGTTGATCCCAGAACTCTAACTCAGGCTATCAGTCTTAGCACCAAGCAGCATTACCTGCTAAATCATCTTACCGGTCCTCATGGTGTTTATTGATCCACATGAATAACCCATTATTTGAATACAGCAGTTCTAAGCATTTTAAAATTTGGAGAACTAGCTTTATTTCTCAAAGTAAGTATGTCCCTCAGGAGAGACCTAATTTGGGGCAAATGGCCATAAACAATACCACAACATAGGACTCACCAGCGTTCTACTGACTGTCAGGTCACTTGGAGTGGAATCGTTCTTCAGCTTCTAGAAAAGACTGGCATGATTTGGCTTAGTTCTGATTTCACTGGTATGTCAATGCGAGCTGTGGATTGTGTATGCATCCTTCTAGGACTTTCTGTAGACTCAAATTGAAACAGATCCTCCAAGTGTTTTGTTTGTAATCCAGCCTCACTGTGGTATTGCATGCAAAATAAGTGTCTGCCTTTTTAAAAAGTTAATGGATTTTATGTAGATGGTGTTTTATTTGTTTTATGTCTGTGTATCATATGTATGCCTGGTACCACAGAGGCCAGAAGGAGGGCCTGGAGTTATGTACAATTTTGAGTCATCATATGGGTGCTAGAACTTGAACCCAGGTTTTCTGGAAGAACAGTCGGTATTCTTAACCACTGGGCCATCTCTCTAGCTTCCAGCATTTGCCAGTAGTCTTTGGCTCCTTGCTGATATGTTCAGTTAAAACATGTTATCTTCCATGTCTTTAAGCTATTTACATTTAATTATATCTAATATCTCATAATCCTCTCAATCTTGTAGCTTCAAGCACAAATGCCAGCCTGATACCCACTTCATCTGCAGTTGCCAATATCCCAGCAGCAGCCGTGGCCAGCATCTCAAACCAGGTACCGTGCCCCATTTCATCCTCCTTGATAGGATTCAACCAACTTTTGCTTCTTCTTTTCTTTCCATGATCAGCTTGCCCATCTAAGGAACAACTAGGAATAGTGTAGACTGTTGCTGGATGCCCTCAGAACTCTGGCTGCTCTCCTGTTTCTCCTGTTCCTTGCTAATCCTCCCAGAAATATGGTTCTGTCTATGACATTACCCATCATGTTAACTGCAAACTCTTCTAGTACTCTCACTAGAGTGTGTACTCCAAGAAGGGCCAGGATTTATTTTTCTATATTTGATCAGTTTTATATTCCCAGAGCCTAGACAAATCACAGACACTCACTTAAAAGGAACTCATAACTATTGTGGAATGAGTAAATACTACCTCCACCCATCTTCTTATTAATTGTTCGTAGTTTGGTTTGTTTTCCTTTTCATGTTTTTTTTGAGACAGGTTTTCTTTGTGTAGCCCTGGCAGTCCTGGAACTTGCTTTGTAGACCAGGCTCATCTCAGACTCAGAGAGATTTTCATGCTTCTGTCTCTCAAGTTCTAGGATTAAAGGTGTGCACGCCCCCACCCCCACCCCAATGCTGGGCTGTGATTTGGTCTTGATCACTGTTATGTGTGTGCTTAAATGATCACTATAATGTCTTCAGTGTTTTAGAGTTTGTTTTGTTTTTAACATGCTCAGACTTTCTCTGCAACAACTGCTGTGACTACTGCTGTCTCCACAATAAACCTCCTCCTTGATTTTCTGTGCCTCACTGTTTGACTGGTGATGTGTTTATTCTTTCTTAAGTCCACAAGTACCTCAGGTTTATAGGGGATTGTTCTGTTTTGGGTAGGTGGGTTGATTTTTTTAGGCAGGGCCTCACTATGTACCCCTGGCTGTCCTGGGAGGTGCCACAATCCAGGCTGGCTTCAAACTTGCATTCATCCTCCTGTTGGTCTCCCAAGCCGAGTTCATGTGCTCCCACAGTGGCCCAGTGTTTTCTGTTATGTTCCCAGCTATGTGCCGTGCAGCCCTGAATAGATAGGCTCTCTCTTTCACAGCCCTTGTTTTGACCTTCGAAGAAGAATGTCTTTAGTTTTTTACATTATAACTTACTCTGGAAGCAGCTTTAACCAAACTCACATTGTCCACTTAGATGATGTGTCTATACTCAGGTTTTTGCACTTTGAAAATTATTGATTACTTGGGACTGTTAGGTAGGTGGAAAATAAGAAAATGTTTTAGGAAAATAGTTTTGACTTCTTGTAATCGTCTTGTCTTCCTCCCTTTGGCCCACAGGACTATCCCACCTATACTATTCTTGGACAGAATCAGTATCAGGCCTGCTACCCCAGTTCCAGCTTTGGAGTCACAGGTCAAACTAACAGTGATGCTGAAAACACAGCATTAGCGGCTACAGCGTACCAGACAGAGAAGCCTAGTGCTATGGTACCTGCACCAGCCACACAGAGGCTTCCCTCTGGTAAGTACAGAGAACCAGACTAAGAACACTTCATCCAACAGTGTTTCCAAGAGGAGGTAAAGGATTTTGTTCTGGGATGAGTTAGTTTCCCCTTGCTGTTGGTTTTCCTTTCTAAGTTTAAACTGTGCAAACAGACTGTGATGAGAAACTGTGGCAAAATGTCTATAGATGCTTATGACAGAAGAGTGCCAACTGTCAGAAGATGTGTTTCTAGTGCACACTCTGCTCTCTCATATCTTCAGACCAAGAGCTCGTTTATTAAAGGTTGCAGGGCTCCAGTTTTAATACAGGCGTTTCTTTAACCCCTGCTGGGAACTCAGAGCAGGTGCTCGTTCTGTGTCTTAAACTTTTTTAAGGTTCTAAGTACAGCTACAGTCCTTTCCCAGCAATCCTAACATTTGACTCAGGAGGCCAGAGACTGCTTGTAAGTGGCACTGAGAGGTCTGGCCCTGCCTGCACTGCCACCAGCAGCCCAAGGAGTTCCCTTCCGTTTAAGGACTTCTTACTTGCAGAAAGCCTAGTCCTTGATTATACCACAGAATTTCAGGATGAGCCAAAGTGAAACAAAGTTAGTGAGTTAATATCAGGGAGAGTACAAGTGTGGGAGTTAGAACTCTTGGTCAGGATTACACAGCCCTCAGCAGCTGTGGCTTCTCAAGAGGAATTGATTGCACTTAGGTAGCTTTACAGTGGCTGCAGGTGTGATTGTGTCTAAGTTAAATTGTTCAGAAGAATGTAATTTACAACAAAGTTTAAAGAATAAACAGAGCTTAAATTTTAAGTAAAGGTTAAATGCTAAGTAAAAATGCTGGACACTTGGGAGACTGGGGCAGGTGAATATCTGTGAGTTCTTGGCCAGCTTGGACTATGTCTCAAAATAAAAAAAGTTAGGTTAGATATCAGTTCTTCAGACTAGAGAGATGACTATGCATTAAGAGAACAGACTGTTCTTCTAGAGGACCTGGATTCAATTCCAGGCATCCACAGAGAAGCTCACAGCTGTCTGGAAGTCCAGTAGTTCCAGGAGACCCGATGGCCTCTTCTAACCTCCTGCAGCATGCATGCATGCATGCGGTACACAGACACATGGGCAGCACTGCATGCATGCATGCATGCGGTACACAGACACACGGGCAGCACTGCATGCATGCATGCATGCGGTACACAGACATTCGGGCAGGCAGAACACTCATTCATGTAAAGTAACAATAAGAATGGTTTTTTAAAAGACTATAAAGCTGATTCTCTTTTATATATTTTTTAGATTTATTTATTTTATGTCTCCATGTATTTTATGTGCATATATTTATGTATACTACTGTTTGTCTGCTGCCCTCCTTGATCAGTAGAGGGCTTTGGGTCCCCTGAAACTGGAGTTATAGGTGAGTCCACTTAAATCCAAGTCTCCTCACAAGCAGCAAGGGCTCTTTTTCTGGAGCCTTCTCTCAGTCAGGAGCATTTGTTTCACTTCAGGAACAGTACTTCTTAAATGAAATTGTGAGGTGCTTTTCATGAGACACATTTAGGGATGAGGCAGGGGTGCTAGTATAATTAAACTGGAGGTCACAAGCATTCTCGCCATAAATAGGCACAATTTGTTGTTTAGGCTGTCCTTTTAGGATGTCTTTAGGAAGGCACATGTCTGTAGGTAGATGATGTTTCTGTAGGCAGATACTATCTGTGTAGGTAGATCTTGTATCTGTAGGCCATTCTGGTTATTTCAGGATCTTGGCCAGATTGTGGTGTAAGGGGCTTCTTGCTCTTCCCAGGTTCCTTTCTTTGTAAAATAAGGACTCTGTCTTTTCTACTGCCCCTCTTGCAGACCCCGTCTCTGTTGTGGTTTTCATAGCTGGGACTGCTCACAGTGTATTTCTTGATTTTCCTTTCAACAGACTCCTCTACAAGCCCACCTTTGTCCCAGAACACACCCAGTAAAGATGCTGATGATCAGTCCAGGAAAAACATGACTGTCAAGAACCGGGGCAAGAGGAAAGCTGATGCCAGCTCTTCCCAGGACAGTGAATTAGAAGTATGTAAAGACACTCACTTGAGTTACCTGTTCTGTCCTCCTCACCTCTGTCAAGCATATGTCTGGAATTTGCAGAGATAATGTTGTTGTATGTTGTGTCTGCTTGAATTCCTTGTGAGGGCATTTAACTGGCCAAGAGGAAAAAAATCCAGATAAAAGAAAATCCCTGCATGCCCACAACTTAGCTTATATATTCCTTCCAACTGTTTGAGCCTTTTTTGATTCAAGGTAACTTTAACAGAAGGAACAAACTGTTCTCCACATTCAGAGAACAGAAAGCATACAGTGCGTCTCAGGAGAGAGCCAAGGGGCCTGTGAGTGATGTCATAGTGTTTCCATTTAGAATTCGAGGGCCAGGTGGTTCGAGTGCATCTGTGGGACAGACAGGTGTGCTGACTGCTTGACAAGTGTGCCAGCACACCATGCCATGCTGTGAGCACTGGGAATTTACTGTGGACATAGATTTCAGTTATGATTAGAAAGAATAGAAAAACATAAATAGAATTCTAATGTTAGATTTTTTAAAATTTTCTTATATTTATTTTGTTCACCTGCAAACTGTAGCAAAACATGATCAGCTTTATCTGCAGACAAGTGTCCTCCACATCTATAAAGAACCTAGCCATGTGTGTACAGAAGAGCTCTTTAGAAGGAAAAAGTCAAGAATGAATAAAACCTTCTGATTTAAATTTTCCAGAGGCAATGCTTCAAATGATTTTAATTATTCATTCCAAGCTATATGACAGCATCTTAAAAGTGGCAGTCTGTTTCCCCAGTAAAATTTTTCACATAACTGTGTGTGAAAGTTACAACTACCGATATGCACAAATAGCTAATTTCTAAGAAAAATATGTACAGTACTGCAGCATAGTGAATGTGGGATCTGGAATAACTTGACATTAGCCAGTCTTTAACTTACATAATGCTGCTACCTATTCTTGCCAATTCACAAGTGAAAAGCTGTTGCTGAGCCCTCTGGTTTGCACATATTACCTTACTTTTGTGGCTTTAATTTTTCTTTGATGATACTTACTAAAGCAAAGAGATACACTTAAATATGCTCTTAGACACAGATGATTGAAGCTAAACGTAGAATCTGTCTTCTTCCTTTCTGGGGAGCAAATATAGCAAGAAATAGGGAAACTAAAATTTGGTATCATTCTTAGAAAAACTAACGGTTCTGATTTTTAACAATTGTACCACTGTGCACATTACTGCTTTTGCTGGACCTACTACACACCTGTAATCCTATGACTTCAGAAGGCAGGAAGATCAGGAGTCCAAGGTTATTCTTGGCTGCATAGTTGCCTGAGACTCCACCTAAAAACCTTTTTAAAAAGGACTAGACTATAAGATTTGAAAATTTTTATGAGTAGGGGTGTTGTTTTTTGGGGTTTTTTTGAAATATGTGGGTGTTTTGTTTGCATGTATGTCTGTGTACAACATGCATGTCTGGTGTTCAGAGGCCAAGGGAGAGTGTTCAATCCCCTGAGACTGGAGTTACATACTTGTGAACCACACATGGGTGCTGGGAGTCCAGCCTCTAGATGAGCAGTGAATGCTCTTAACTACTCGGCCATGTCTTCAGCCCCAACTTTACCATTTTAAGAGCATTATTCAGTGTTGTTAGATATATTAGCCATTATATATGTTTCTGGAACATTTTTGTGGTTTTTGTGTGTGGTTTTCTTTGTTTGAGACCATCCCACTCTTGCCTTGACCTCCTGGGCAGTTCTGCCTCATACTCCTCAGTGCTGAGACAACAGCTGTGAGCCGCTCTGCCCTGTGTTCACAACCTTGTCTTGATCCTAAACAGACTGTCTACCTATTAAACAGTATGACAACTGTGGTTCTGCTTTCTGCTCCTGTGAACTTGCCTGGTCTGGATATATCTGAGTGTGAGCATACAGTATTTGTACTCTTATCAGGCTCATTTCAGTCAGTCTGATGCTTTTGAGATTTATCTGTGTTGCAGCATTGATCATAATTTCATTTCTTTCAATGGCTGAGTGATATTCTACTCTGTATGTACATTCGTCCTGCGTCTTGCTTATTTTGTGTCTGTTGAAGGACACTTTCACTTCTAGGCCATTGTAAATAATGAGATTGCTGGATCTTATTGTGTGTTCAGCTTTATGAGGAGCCACCAGACTTCTGCACTTTCACACTCTCACATTGTCACCATTGACCACATTCTCATTGACACTTATTTCTCCCCTCCCCTTTTTAAATTGTGTTTTAAGTGGTGGTGGTGGTGGTGGTGAGACAGGCCCTCTACATACCTCTTGCTGCTGGAGCTTGCTCTGTAAATTAGGCAGGCCTGGAGCTCACAGAGCTATGCCTGGGCCTGCCCCTTTTAAAACTGAAAGCTACTCTGTTGTATGTAAAGTGACATCCCACTGTAGTTCTTCACTGCCTTTTCCTAATGACAGTGGTATTGAACATCTTTCCATGACATTGAGTCCTAAGTTAAATTGCATGACTCCTCCAACTTTGTCCTCTCTTGAGGTTGTTATGGCTATATGGAGATCTCTTCAGATTCTCTATGAATTTTTTTAACAGTTTTTTTTTCTTCTTCTTTTTAACCAGTTTATTTTAAATTGGTAGTAATTAAATTCAGTTTCCTGTAAACACTGTGTTTTAACACAAGCTTAACAGGCACTCTAGCAGAACAGGAGAGGCGGGTTAAGGGTACTTGTTGCTCTTGCAGAGAACCAAGTTTTGGTTCCAGCATCCACTTGGCAGCTCACAACCGTCCATCACTCTAGTCCTATAAGATTCAACACTATCTTCTGATTTCTAAGAACACCAAGCATGCACATGGTGCACAGACATACACTCGAGCAAAACAGCCACACATGTAAGATAAAAATAAGTCTAAAGAAAAAATGTTAAATAAAAACACCGTGGAGATTTGGGTGTGGTTCAAAGTGCTTTGGCCATGCCATTTTAGCTGCATTGTCTTCCAGTCTGTGCATATTTACATTTATGTTTTTCTGTTTTTCAGCAGTATGTTAAAGTTTTCAGTATATTGTGCAAATCTTTTGTGTCATTGGTTAAATTTACTCCTGAGTATTATTTTGTTAAAGATTCATTTATTTATGTATATGAATATTTTGTCTGCATGTGTTTGCACATCAGAAGAAAGTATGAGATCCCCTTGAGACGACAGAGACAGATGGCTGTGAGTTGATACGCTGGTGCTGGGAATTAAACTCGGGACCTTTGGAAAATCAACCAAAGCTCTTAACAGCTGAGCCATCTCTCCAGCCTCCTGAGCATTACTTTAGTGGGATTGATTTTTAATTTTTTTTTCAGATCACTCATTACATTAAAACATAAATTTGTTTTAACATAAATTTTTTTAAGTAATGTATTGAACACATTATCTTCTACTCCTAACAGACACACACACACACACGCACACACACACACAAAGTGAAAGGGTATTGGACTTTTGTCAGATGCATTTTCTTTATCTGTTGAGATAATTATGTGTTTTCCCTCTCTTAAAATTAATTATTAAATATTATATAACCACTGATTAATTTTATATATGGAGAGAACCATTCTTAAATTCCAAGCACTGATCCCACTCAGTTATGATATACACTATTTTTCTATGTTAGGGACTTTGACTTGGTTGAGACTTGTGCACTGTTTTTCATGAGGGCTGTCATCTTCTGTGCCCACTCTAGTCCTGTCTGCTTCATGATCTGCTCTTGGAGATTCTGGCTTTACTACATAAGTGAGAAAGAGTTCCTTTTTAGTATGCTTTTGGAGACAGTTAGGAAAAGTTATGTTAATTCTTAAATGTCTGCTCTAATTCTCCAGTGACGTAACTGGATCTCAGGCTTTTCCTTTAGGGACATTTTAAATGACTAGATCCATCTCCTTACTGGTGACAGGCTTTACCACATTTTCTGCCTTTTCTCTAGCCAGTTTAGTTTGTGTTATGTGTTTCTTAAGATTAGACTTTTCCACCTGGTTATCCATTTTGTTGGCATACAACTGTTGATAAGTCCCTGTCAGGGGCCATTTACACCTGCGAGGTTGCCAGCTCTGTCCCCACCTAAATTCAAAGTCTTAGTCATTTGAGTCTCTGTCTTTCTTGGTAAACGTCAGTTCTGTTGAAATTTTCAAAGAATCCACTGTTGCTTTCATTGTCTTTTCTCTATTCTGTTCTTTTGGTTCTTTTCTTCTACTTTATCTCTTATTCACCTCTTCCCTTTCCCTAGCTTTAGCTTTAGTTTGCCTGCTGTATCTAAATAGTCCTTGGATGTATAGTATGGCTATGATTTGAGATTTTTCTTTTTCTTGGACTGAGGATTGAACCCAGAGCCTTAGGCCTATAGATGTAAGCTCTTTCCTGAGGTTTGAGGCTTCTTTTTCCCCCTCTTCTCTTATTATGGGCTCTTTCTGTGCAGCTTAGGCTTCCTCCAACAGTTAGTGATCCCTGTCTCTTTCCCCAGTTAGGGGATTGCAGGCATGCACCTGTGCCTGCTGCTTGCTTGTTTGCTTGCTTGCTTTCTGGCTTTCTTTCTTGCTTTTCTTTTTTCCCCCCTTTTTTGTTGAGACAGGGTCTTACTGGATAGCCCTATCTGGCCTGGAATTCTCTTAACTTATATGGCTTCAGATTCACAGAGATTCTCTGCCTCTGCTTCCTAACAGCTCTATAGAATAAAGTCATGCCTATGTGCCCCTCCCTCCTCCTGCCATTCTTTTTTTAATGTACATATTTATAGTTAGAGTCAGCATTGCTCTCACTGTGTCTCATAAGCTGTAATATGTTGTATTTGTTTTCATTCAACTCAAATATTTTCTGATTTTACTTATAATTCATTGATTCTCTACAATTGTGTTATTACATTTCCACATATTTGTAGATTTTTTTTTAGTTTAATTTTTCTTTTTTTTTTTTTTGGTTTTTTTTTTTTTTTTCATTCCACTATGATTGACAGATAACTCATTTTTTTTTTCCCCCCCCCCCCCCAGCGGGTATTTCTCTGGGACTTGGATGAAACCATCATCATATTTCATTCCCTTCTTACTGGATCCTATGCTCAGAAGTATGGAAAGGTAACTGGAGCCTCTTCTATCGTAACTGCCCCTTCCCTGAAAATCCATTTTTTTCTCCTGCCTCTCTTGCCCTGTTGACTTTTTACATATATATATAGTGACAATATTAGGGATTAGGGTCCAAGAGATGGTGTATAATTAAAACACTTATGGTTCTTACAAAGAACTTTGGTTTGGTTCCCAGTGCCCACATGCAGCTGACAACCATCTATAACTCCAATTCCAGAGGATCCAGCACTCTTTTGTGGCCTCTGCTGACATTGTATGCATGTGATACAAAGGCATAACATGCAGACAAGACACCCATATACATACACATTCGAAACAAAACAAAAAAAGTATTGGGATTAAACCCAGGACTCACAAATGCTAGGCAAGTGCTGTACCATTGAGCTGTGTGCCTAGTCCTCCCCTGTCGGCTTGGAACCTCTCATGTATAAAACTTGACTACATGGCTTGTGTCCAGCAGGCTACTTATCTAGGTAGCTTTGATGGTAAAGCTAGACGCCTGATCTAGGAGCAGTCCTGACTCTGAAGTTATTCAAGGTTGATGACAAGATGACTCACCAGATAGAATGCTTGTTGCCAAGACTAATGACCTGAGTTCAGTCCTCAGTACCCACAGTTGCTATGATGAACTAACTACTCACAAGTTGTCCTTTGACCACATGGGAATGTGTGTGCGTACGCGCACACACCAAATAAAAAAGTGTACTTTTTAATGTACTTCATAAGCATTAAAGTGTAGAAATAATAGTCAAAATTGAATGAAATCTCAGGATAATATATTCTAAAAACTAACTTGTTAAGCCTTAAATTACTAAAGATATTTCTAAGAATTTCATTTAGCCAAAAATGAGTTAGGGAATAAGTAAATGAATCTTATAGATAATATTTCTAAAATAGATCATAACATGACTTTTGTTATGTTGTATTTTGTTCTCATTCTGTAGTACAGGCTGGCCTCTAAATCTCAATTATTTTCCTGCCTCTAAGCCTCCCAAGTGATAGGATTACAGGTGTGAGCCACTGCCCTTAGATCTAATTTAAAATAAATGTGCTTTTTTTTAAAAAAAACAACTGTGCCAGACAAAATTCAATGTGTTTACTCTTTAGTGTAAACATACTTTTAGCAGAAGAATGAATTGTTAATTAGTTCTGTGTATTTTTTTTTTTTAATCTTGAAACAGGATCTCAGTGTATAGCCTTGGCTGTTCTTGAACTCCTGCCTCAGCCTCCCGACTGCAGAACTGTGTTTTGCCATAGATTATCTCCAGGATCATTTATTTCTAGAAATAAATTATAAAAATAACTGTTTGCTGTCTTGCTACTCATGGTTTTCTAGGATTGCCAGGAAAGTCTTCTGTGAGTGCTTTTACACAACTGAGCAGCTGACAGAAACTCCAAAACTACATTCCTAAGAGAGCTAAATGCTTCTGTTCTAAGTGAAGACTGATGCTTCCTTTTAAAGCAGCTTGCATTGGTTGCCCTATACATACTTTGACTCTGGCCTTCTTTACTTCCTGGCGGGTTGGACTGTTGGGTGTTTGGTATTCCCTGTATCACATTAGAAGGAAAGGGACTGTGCATATTACATTAGCAAGGATTTTTTTTGTTTGTTTTGTTTTTCAAGACAGGATTTCTCTGTGTAGTACTGGCTGTGTAGACCAGGCTCGCCTCAAAACTCAGATCTACCTGCCTTTGTGTCCTGAGTGCTGGGATTAAAGGCATGTGCCACTCCTTGGCTTTGACATTTTTATTAATAACTACCCATAACCTCTGTATTTTGTAAGCCCAGGTTCTTATAAATGTGAGTGAAATTGCCTCAGTAAGATTTGAAGTCCTGTTGTGTTGGACTAGGCTCAAAGTAGTTTTAAAACCTCTGAACGTTATAACCAGTGCTGTGATCCAAGTACTATGCTCACTTTTTTTTTATTCCAGGACCCAACAGTAGTAATTGGCTCAGGTTTAACAATGGAAGAAATGATTTTTGAAGTAGCTGATACACATCTCTTTTTCAATGACTTAGAGGTAAGTGGTTTCAATTGTTTTTCTGCTCTGTGAGGTGTTTTATTCTGTGAGATGTTTGTTAGTGCCTAATAAGAGATTAGGTAAAACAGGGGTGAAGGGAGAAGGGTTCTGTTAACAGGATCACCACAGGCTTCTGTCTCCAGGAAGAACAGTGTCACAGTTGAATTTCCAGATCTTGGGGAGTTCTAATTTAGACTTAGTTGATTTTGTTTTGTTCTTTAGCAGAGTTGGAGGTGGGATGTTTGTTTCCTTTTGTTTTGAGACAGGGTCTCGTGTAGCCCAGAAGGGTCTCGGACTCACTATGCAGCTAAATTCGACCTTGAACTTGTGATTCTCTTGCCTCTACCCCCTGAGTGCTGGAGTTAGCAGTGTGCCGCCATGCCAGGGGTTATACAGAGCTGGGGAGTCAAGACCATTGCTGCATGTTAGGCAACTGCTGTGCCAGCTGAGCTAGCCCAGCTTGGACTTGATAGAAAGAGTGACACTAAGAAAAAAAAGTGTATGGGTTTCTTAGAGTGGCCCCTCTGAGTCAGGTGTGGAGACACATCTATAATCCCAGCAATTAGGAGGCTAAGGTAGGAAGACCTATTTCCAAAAAATAAAAATTGATTTTTGTTTTGGTTAGTTTATTTGGAAGTAAAGTACAAGAACACTAATATTATAAAAGTCAGTAATTCAATATGTTAGCATTAAATAACATATAAAGGGTTTCATTATTTTTAGTGTTAATTGTTTTTGTTTGTTTTGTTTGAGACAGTCTCACTGTGTAGCAGTAGCTGGCCTCAAACTATGTAGAACAGGCTGGCCTTGAACTCGGATCCACCTGCCTCTGCCTCCTCAGTTCTGGGATCAGTGTCAGTGGTGTGTGCCGTTGTGTCCTGTTGCTGCTGCTGCATTGTTTTTCTTTTAAATGTGTGTGGGTGTTTTCTGTTCATTTTTTTCCAAGCTCACATGGGTGTAATGCCCGTGGAGGGCCAAAAGAGGACATTACATCCCTTTGGTACTTGAATTACAAATACCCTGTGGTGCTGGGAAACCAACTCCTCTGGAAGAGCAGCCAGTACACTTGATCACTGCACTGTCTTTCAGTCCCTATGCCTTGATTATATTTTGACTGTTCTTTAATTTACTTTATATAGATATATCTTAAGGGGGGGAGTTAGTTTACCTTTGTGGTCTCTAATTAATAGATGACTAATCTTACTGCTCTCAGATGGGTTTTGTCCACTTTCATTGACTATTTTTTCTTTTCATTGTAATTTATCAATGGTCTTATATAACACAGATAACCCTGAATCTATATGAACTATTATATTTTTCTTCTATATTAAAATTTTTCCTACTAATTGTTTAAAGTTTATTTGCCTGTCTTCAAATGGCAAAGATATTCTTCTGTATTTTTTTTGTAGAAACTTTGAAGTATTTTTTGTTCTGTTTTGGATTTTGTTTGTTTGTTTTTGTATTGGAGGTCTGGAAGTTTTTGAGACGAGGCCTTAGTCTGCATAACCCAGGATGGCTTTAAACTCAAAATCCTTCTGCCTCAGCTACCCACATGCTGACATTACAGCACACAATAGCATACCTGGCTCTCATTGTATTTCTGTACATGTGTATTATCCATGTATAAGTGAAGCTTTGTGTACTCAGCTCTTCCATGAAAATAGAACACACTGAGAGTATGTGGTTAAGAACTCTGGTGTTGCTGTTTAGTTTCCCTCTGTGAGAAATTCATAATGGGAGTCTTGGGTTGCGAGCAACATGTTCCCAACCTGGCCTTGAGCAGGCATCCTGTTCCAGAAACTAGTAACAGGTCATTCTGATCAGAGGAGAGCATTGTTGGGAAAGAGGGCAGAGGCTGAGAGGGGACAGGTGGTACCACTTCATGGCTTTACACTCTGCACTGTGTGCTGCAGAGATACTTTTTTTTTTTTTTTTTTTTTTTTTTTTTTTTTTTTTTTTTTTTTTTGGTTTTTCGAGACAGGGTTTCTCTGTATAGCCCTGGCTGTCCTGGAACTCACTCTGTAGACCAGGCTGGCCTCGAACTCAGAAATCCGCCTGCCTCTGCCTCCCAAGTGCTGGGATTAAAGGCGTGCGCCACCACTGCCCGGCCGAGATACTTTTTTAAAAGCAGCAAGTTTAAAAGCAGCAAGTTTAAAGTAAAAGAACATTTACAAACACAAAGTTGTCTGTATATACAGACAGTTCCCCAGCAAACCAGATGACTATGCTAAACTCCAAATCTACAGTGCTTTAACCTTCCCTCAACTGCACCTGTTGACAAAGTGAAACAGCATAGTTTTTATTCAGTAAACATTAGTTGAGAACCTACTGTGTGTCAATAATTATTCCCAAATAGTATTTGTAATGATTTTCTAGACATAGTCCGAAATCAGGACTGAAAGTTTTGGACAAATTTGACCTGAATGTGTTCCTGCCCCTCCCCACCCCCCGTCAGTAGTTCTCAACTTTAAGAGGCATAAGAATCCCCTGAGGAGTGTCTTAAAATTGAAGAGTCTAGCTAGGACTTCATTCCAGAAGTTCAAGTCGGTCTGACATGAACCAAAGAATATGAATTTTAAAAACCTTCCCCAGAGGATTCTGGTGCAGATGTCCTAGTGGTGTCAGGGAAGACAGCAGCCAGTTAGGCAGTTGGTACATCTGGGCTTGATAGAAGGTCTCGGCTCCTCTCTCTCCCGCTCACCGGTACTATGGTCCTGGGAAAATGATCCAGATGTAAGCATTGCATATAGATGACCTGTGCGGTGCTTATAACTTAGGTATGCACTTCTCCTCCAGCTGTTCTGATTGGGTTTTGTTGTTGTTGTTTGTCTTGGTTTGTTTTTTAAATTAAGATTTGTGTACTTAAGATGCTCTATCTGCATGCATGTCTGCGTGCCAGAAGAGGGCATCAGATCTCATTACAGATGGTTATAACACACCATGTGGGTGCTGGGAATTGGACTCGGGACCTCTAGAAAAGTAGTCAGTGCTCTTAACTGCTGAGTCATCTCTCCAGCCCCTATTCCTAATTTTGATATCATACATACATCATCATCGTTTCATCTACAAAAATTAATTGTAAACAAGTCAAAAATTAATTGTAAACAAGTTGGGCTGTGGTGACACATACCTTTTATCCCAACACTTGAGAGGCAGGGCAGACAGATCTCTGAGCTCAAGACCTGGTACCCAGAACAAGTTCCAGAACAGGTAGGTCTTTTTATACAATGTCATGGTAGTGACAGCACCTCTGTTCCTTGGAATGAACATGTGCATTTTGTCTTTTAACAGGAGTGTGACCAGGTGCATGTGGAAGATGTGGCTTCTGATGACAATGGCCAGGATTTGAGGTGTGGTGAACACAGTGATCCTTGAATGTCAGTACACCCAGGATGTGCAGAACACTGCATTCAGAGGAAGAGAAAGATCATAGTGCTCACGGTCTACTGTTAGAAGAGCCAGAAACCAATGTGACTAGCTGTAACATAGAGTACAGTGAGGCAGCCGTAGAAAACTGATAAGAAGCAGAGGAGGAAGTGATGTGGTACTGCTCTGTAAAGGAGCAGGTGGGGCAATTAGAGAGGCCTCAGTTGTGTAGCATTTGACCAAGACCTCAAGAATTACAGGATAACAGCACTGGATGATGAAGCAGCATCTTGGAGTAAAGGATGATTCTGCTACTGGCTTCTCTATATATAGACTTCTGCTGGGAGAAAGCATGCTGCCAAGTGGGTAGTTCTAGCTGCACATAAGCAGCAGTAATTTTGCCCAGTGAAGGATTGATGGTGTCAGGAATAGCCCTATGAACTGTTGTCTTGACTGTTGTATTTCAGTGAAGACTACACCAGGGCAGCCTCATTATCAGCTCAGTCTCCTCATTCCTCTGTTGGCTACTGTTTCTTCTGGCCCTTTGATCTTTTTAAAAAATAAAGGGGTGCGTGTGTGTACACTTGTGCATATGTATATGCATGGAGGTCAGAGAACAAGTTTGTGGAGTCAGTTCTTTCCCTCTACCTTTACTTTGTATCCTGGAATTAAATTCAGGTCACCAGTCTTGTGTGGCAAAGCACATTTACTCAGAGACATTTCAATGGCCTTTGTCCAGTGGCCTTGACTAAAAAGTATCATACATAGGTGCTGGAGAGATGGCTCAGCGGTTAAGAGCTCTGGCTGCTATTCCAGAGAACCCGAGTTCCGTTCCCAGCAGCCACATGATGCTTATAACCATCTAGAGTGAGCACTGATGCCTTCTTCTGGCATGTACATGCAGATAGAGCACTCATATACCATCAGTCAGTCAATCCAGTCAGTCAATAATTTTTTTTAAGTGCCCAAACATTTCAAGACTTTAGGGGGAAAGACTGTCCTGTCTTTTCATATTGAGATAAATGTCCCTCCCTGTTACTTCCTGGAATTAAGTATTTCACCTATCAATTTTTGTTATTTTGGGTTTTGAGGTTTGTTTGTTTGTTTTTTGAGACAGGGTTCCTTTATGTAGCCCCGATTGTCCAGGAATTCATTGTGTAGACCAGGCTGACCTCAAATTCAGCTGAGTTCTGGGACTAAAAACATGTATAATTTATTAAATGTGTAACAGAGCTGAACACACTGTCCACATTAGAACCAAGAAGGGACCCTTCCCTGAGTGCAGCAGCCACTTCATGTGTGTTGTGCTGTTCATGACTAAGACTGTCTCTGCCTCGTTAGAAATGCCTCCTGTCAAGCATCTGATGGCCTATTTATTGGCTTATATATTTGTTTCTTTGTTTTCTCTTATATATGTGACTGACTAGGTTTCCTATTTTATGTCTTGGCAGCTTTTCTTACTTGTTGGGTGGTCGGTTTGTTTGGGTTGTTTTGTTTTGTTTCGTTTCTGAGACAGAGTTTCTCTGGATAACTTCCTGAAACTCAATCCTCAGTCCTGGAACTCTCTCTGTAGACCAGCTTGCCTCAAACTCAAAAGATCCAGCTGCCTCTGCCTCCTGAATGATGGGATTAAAGGCGTGTGCCGCCACCACCCAGCTTCTTGGCCACTTTATTTAGTATAGAATCTTACACTTAGTGTATTGAACCCTATTTTGACATGTTCAATTGTTTTGAAAAAACTTCTATCCCAGGCTGTCCTGGAACTTGTTATGGAGCCCATTTGACCTTACACTATGATCCTCTAGCTTCAGTTTCCCAAATGCTGGAATTTTAGGGGTGTGTGCGGCCACCATGGCCAGCTCTATTTCTCCTTTTTCTACAGCCGTGATCATATTTACATAGCTATATTAATTGGGTAGTCTGCTTTATTTGTCATTGTATATTATTCTGTCATCCCAAGTGCGCCTCTGTGGGCCACTAGTGCTTAGGTTATTTCCCCTTTTCCTCTCAGTAGCCACTATCAATTCATCCTGGAAAGGTAAACGGAGGCTGGACATACATAATGGTGCACACTTGTTCCAGCACTTAGAGGTGAAGACAAGTGGATTAGAGGTACAAGTCCAACCTCAGCTACATAGTGAAGTTGAAATTAGCCTGGCCTACATGAAACTTTTTCTTAAAAAAAAAAAAGTTAATTAATTAAAAATAAAAGGAAAAGAAAGAAAAGAAAAAGAAAAAATAACCAGTCCTAGTGAGAAGATTGTTAAAGCATTAGCTCTGATTATTTGATACCAAGAACAAGCCACAGAATCTCAGGTCACATTTACACTCAAGGCCTGTGAGCATGGGGTTTAATTTTCATTATCTTCTTTCTTTGCAGCAACTATAGTTTCTCGACAGATGGTTTCAGTGGTTCAGGAGGCAGTGGAAGCCACAGTTCATCTGTGGGTGTTCAGGGAGGTGTGGACTGGATGAGGAAACTGGCCTTTCGCTACCGAAAAGTGAGGGAAATCTACGATAAGCATAAAAGCAACGTGGGTGGTAAGTGTGGCCAGCCATTCTGAACCTGATCCTTGGTGCTTTCCTGCATTCCTTCCCAGAGTGCCCTAGATCTGCCTTGCAGCTTTCTAGCAATTTATGCCATGTTAATTAAAAAGAGAGAGAGAGATCTAATTGAAACCTGTTGGAGAATTTGCACAACCACAGTCATTAGGATGGAAGACACAGGGAGAGGCTCTGCACCGTTGATGGCAGTTAGAACGGAGCGTGCAGGGTGAGGAAGTGGCTCTGCAGTTAAAGTGCTGGCTGTGCTGGCAGAGGACGCAGACCAAGTCTTTAGCATCTACAAGTAGCTCTCAACCATCTGTCACTCCAGTTTGAATGTATCTGATGCCTTCTGATCTCTATGAGCGTCAGACATGCATACTACATACATACATACATACATACATACATACATACATGGAAACAATACATACACATAAAACAAAAATAAATTTAAAAATTTTTTTAAAAAGGAGATAATAGTTGAGGCTCTGCACCATTGATGCCATTAGAATGGTGATTTCAGTAGACGCTCGCTCTGCATTGCCAGTTCTTAATATCACTTTGGACAACTGTGGTATTTCCTTTAGACAAGTACCATTTTAAAGAAAATGTACTGTATTAGTCAACTTTATCTCTGTGATAACATCAGTTCAACAGGAGGAAAGACTTATTTAGCATGTGATCATTGGCCCTGTTTTCTTGGGCTTGTGGCAAACCAAAACGTCATAGCAAAAAGAGGCTGGTCACCTCATTGCCCAGGAAGAGAAAGAGGGAGGAGGATGAAAGAGCAGCTTGATTCCTAATGTCACATTAAAGCACACTGCCTACTGCTTCCAGCTAGGCCCACCTCAATCAGCAGTACCTTCCCCTGAGAACAAAATTTAACATGTTAGCTTTTGGGGTTATGGTTACTTGGTTGGTTGGTTTGTTGTTGAGACGGTCTTGTTAGATAGCCCAGAACCATCCTTGAACTTGCTCCCAAGTACTGGGGTTCGAAACATGCCACCTAATACCAACCTCAGTACATCACATGGTGTAGTGCCATTATTATTATTGAGTCACAACCACTGTTGGTACTAGTTAATAGACTGCCTTATTTTGAAGAGCAGTGTCCATATGCGTCATGGCGAGTCAAATAGACCCAGATGCTACATTGCCTGGGAGATAAGGCTAGGAGTGTAGTGACAGTGTCCGTGTGAGAGAATCTGCCCAGAAGTATTGTAGGTGTTAGTGTGCCTAAAATTTTGTTATTCAAAACTAATTTAGTCATGGACTGTTTAAAATGGGAGAGACAAACATCTTCTTTAAATACCTCATTTGGCAGTTGAGAAATTAACATCCATCATGCGAGCAGGAACAGCATACACAGTCACATAGAGAGTTAATAAGATGGCCACATTATTATTAATCGTGTGGCCTTCCCAGTCTTACAGTTCCTTTACTAGTGATGTGCTCTTATAGGACAATATTTAAAACTGTGAGCCATCCAACTGCATACACAGTGCTGCATGAAGCCTGGGGCTTGTATAGACAGTGCCCTTTCATATCACGAATGATGTTGTGCACAGTGTGGCTTTAAAGCACAGACAGTGCTGGGCAGCGGTGGCGCACGCCTTTAATCCCAGCACTTAGGAGGCAGAGGCAGGTGGATTTCTGAGTTCGAGGCCAGCCTGGTCTACAGAGTGAGTTCCAGGACAGCCAGAGCTACACAGAAAAACCCTGTCTCGAAAAACAAACAAACAAACAAAAGCACAGACAGGGCTTTAACCTTCAGTTGGGTTATTCCTGTGACAATCCTGTTAATACCAGATAAAAATCATGAGCTTCCAGATCTCAGGAATCTAATTTCTTTTTTCGGATCCTCCCTCCCCTAAGCCTAGGTCCCTGATCTTTCCTATGTGCTAACTGAATCTAGTTTCTTGGACAAAATGATACACCATACTGTGAGTCTCCTTAGCCTACTTGGGAGAACACATAAAAAGTAATACCAGCCAAACATGTGGCACACCTGTAATGTCAGCACTAGGGGAACTTAGGCAGGTGAATCTCCGAGTTCAAGCCAGCCTGGTATACATAGTAAGTTCTAAGCTAGCCAAGGTTTCATACTAAGACTGCTTCAAAAAACAAAAAACAAAAACAAAAAAAAAGAAAAAAGAAATACTTCCTTGTATGTTTTTGTAGTGTGGGTAGAATATAGGACTTATTTAACCTTTGCTACAGAAAATTCTGAGTCACACTTGCTCTTTGAATATACTAACTCAGAGTATCTAACAATGGACTCCCATGTGAGACCTGTTATGTTTTATGCAGAATCCGACTCCTAGAGCAGCGTGTGAGTCTGCTCTTGCTGTAGTTGCTTCAGAGGTGAATATAGGACAGGAGTTGTCCTTTATTCTGGAATCATGGCTAAAACATTCCCATGTAGGCAGAGGTACAGCGTTGTCACTGGGAAATGGCAGCTGGGAAAGGTTCCCCAACCCTGGGCATTCCCAATGTCTATAGAATTCTAAGCATCCTCCCTTTGTTCTTTGTCTTTAGAGATAAGAACGGTTCTAACAGTCATTGTCCCTGCATGGTTCTTAGTATTTTGTTGTAGAGTAGAGCTATTCAAGTGTGTTCCCTCTATCTGTAGATAAAGCCCATTAGTAATAAAGATGGAGCTTGTACAGAACCTAATTACGATGTTTCCATCAGCTGCCTCTGTTATGGAGTGCCCATAGGAAAGCAGACATTTTGTGGAGGTGACACATCTGAGTAACACCGTTCTCAAAGTTTTCTTAAACATGGGAATGCGTGCACTCGGGCTTGTGCTTCTTCATCTCCCAAGTATATTGATTACTTGTCTCCAGCACAGTACCTGACAAAAGCAGCTTAAGGAAGGAAAAGCTTATTTTGGTTCACAGTCAACTACTGTAGTCAAGATACAGTAGCAGGGACTGGAGAGATGGCTCAGCAGTTAAGAGCAATGATTGTTCTTCCAGAGGTCCTGAGTTCAATTCCCAGCAACTGCAATGTGGCTCACATCCATCTGTAATGGAATCTGATGCCCTTTTCTGGTGTGTCTGAAGATAGCTATAATATACTCATATATATTACATACATACATACATACATACATACATACATACATACATACATACATGTTGAAGAAAAAAAAAAAGATGCAGGAGGCACCGGCCACATTGAGTCCATGGTTGGTAAACAAAGATGGAAGAGTACTGGTGCTCAGTTTGCTTTCTCCTTTTTATTTAGTGCAGGACCCCAGCCCATTGAATGATGCCACCTACATTTAGGGTGGTCTTCTCACCTCTGTAATCTAATTTTGATGATCCCCCACAGATATGACCAGAGGTTTGTTTCCATGTGGTGATCCTAAATCCCATCAAGCTAATGATCAAATTGACCATCATAGCAAGTTGATGTTGTCAGATAACAAGTGCGTCTGCTTTTCTGAAAGGCCTCCTCAGCCCCCAGAGGAAGGAAGCACTGCAGAGACTCAGAGCAGAGATCGAGGTGCTGACGGACTCCTGGTTAGGAACGGCACTGAAGTCCTTGCTTCTCATCCAGTCTCGGTATGGAAATAGTCTTTATATCTCATCTTCTCACGGTGTTTTCCAATCCTAGAACAAGCTAGGCCATCCCCTAAAATGGGGATTAGGAACAGAGATTAAAAGAATGAGCCTCAGTGGAGGCAGAGGCAGGCAGATTTCTGAGTTCGAGGCCAGCCCAGTCTACAGAGTGGGTTCCAGGACAACCAGGACTACACAGAGAAACTTGTCTCAAAAAAGAAAGAAAGAAAAAAATAAAAGAAAGAAAGAGCAGGATTTAAATGAAAAGGGGTCTAGAGCCAGGCATAGTGGTGCACCCCTGTAATCCCAAGTCAGAGAGAGGGTAGGATCAGCAGTTAGTGTAAGGCTGTCCTCAGCTAGCTAGTGAGTTTGAGGGCAGTCTGAGACTGTCTCAAAAAAAAAAGCGAGGATAAACAATGAATGCCTTAAGAAGACTAAGGGAGCCAGAAAGGGCTTAGCGATGCTTGCTGCCAAGCTTGATAACGTAAATTCAGCATGCATAATAAATAAGTGTAATGTTTAAAAATTAAGATGATTAAGGGGTTTTTTGTTTGTTTGTTTGTTTGTTTGTTTGTTTTTTGCCTTGAAGCCTAGACTGGAAAATCCAGCTATAGCAATTCCAGTACCCTGTTGCTCCCTCCCTCTCTCCCTCCCTCCCTCCCTCCCTCCCTCATGTCTACAACTTGGGAGCAAAAACTCACACTGAAGATAGAAATCCATGGAGGTTAAGGACCTGGGGACTTACTGTGTCTTCGGGAACCGGAATGGTGGTTGTGTGAAGAACAGAGAGCGGCATCCCATTAAATAAGACAGCAGGTGACAGCTCCCTGCTGCTGCTGCTGCCTGCCTGCTTCTAAATGTGAGATCCATAACAAGAAGACAGGAACGGTAGCCAATAGACTGCAGTGAGAAACTGGCCAAGGTAGAGAGATGGCTCAGTAGCTGAGAGCACTCACTGCTCTTACAGAGGACCCAGGTTCAGTCCCTAACATTGACATGTGTGTATATAAGCCATCTCACTGGCACTCCTGCCCGTTAATATAGAAAATAAAATCTGAATAAGAGGAGTGATTGAGCTGGATATGGTAGAGCACGGCTTTAATCCCAATACTAGAGAAGCTGAGGCAGGAGGTTCTCTGAGTTCGAGGCCAGCCTGGTCTACAGAATGAGTTCCAGGACAGCCAGGGCTACACAGAGAAACCCTCCCTAGGAAGGGAGGGAAGGGAAAGAAAAAGAAAAGGAGAGGAAAAAAAGAAAAGAATTACTGCCGGGCGGTGGTGGCGCACGCCTTTAATCCCAGCACTTGGGAGGCAGAGGCAGGTGGATTTCTGAGTTCGAGGCCAGCCTGGTCTACACAGTGAGTTCCAGGACAGCCAGGGCTACACAGAGAAACCCTGTCTCGGAAAAACCAAAAAAAAAAGAAAAAAAAAGAAAAAGAAAAGAATTACTATTGGCATTTAACAGTAGCGTCCTGCTCATTGAGACTTCCTTTTAAGTGAGATCCTGAAGAGGTAATGTGTTTGAATTCGTCCTCCTGGGTTGCTTCAGTTTCACCTTTTTCCTTCTTATTTCCCTTTAGAAAGAATTGTGTGAATGTTCTGATTACTACCACCCAGTTAGTTCCAGCCCTGGCCAAGGTTCTTCTGTATGGACTCGGAGAAATATTTCCTATTGAAAACATCTATAGTGCTACCAAAATCGGTATGGTGCTACTCTCCCATGACCTCTCAGGGAATCTTTCACTGGGGCTTGTGTTATTGTCATTTCTTCTGCTACCGAGTACAAACACGTTTCCCATCAAGCAGTCTTCTGATGAGGTGGTTGAGGCTTAGCAGTTACACTGTTTGCTTATGATATAAGAACTAGTAAGTTAGGAAAATATGTTCCTCTTTCCTACAGCATCAGCATCATTATTTTTTACCCTAAAGTCTGTAATTGAGACCAGCTAGCTGGCTCAGTTAGTATCTACCACCAAGTCTGATGGCCTGGGCTCAATCCCCAGGACACTCGTGGTGGAAGGAGAGAATCTACTCTACAGGTCGTCCTGTGATCTCCATGGTCCATCCTCACCCACTCACACACAAGATAAATAGAAACCTTGTGGAGAGATGTCTTAGCAGTTAAGAGTACTTGTTCTTACAGGGGACCTGAGTTCAGTTCCCATCACCTACATGTTGGCTTACTCCTAACTCCTGTTCTGAGAAATTTGATGCCCTCTTGTGGCCTCGGAGAGCAGTAAGTACATACATGATACACATACATATATGTAGGCAAACATACATACATACATAATACATACATACATACATACATACAATGAATAAATTTAATTTTTAAAATTTTTAAATAAGATTAAAAAAGAAAATATTTAAAGCAACCATGAAGTGTTAAGAATTGAGAAAACTGTTGGACAGTGGTGATACATGCCTTTAATCCCAGCACTTCTGAGTTCAAGGCCAGCCTGTTCTGCAGAGCTCTAGGACAGACAGGGCTACACAGAGAAACCCTGTCTCAAACCTCCCCACCCCCAAAAATTTTTTTGAGAGAAAACTTTAGTAGTGGGAATTGTGTTATCATTCACTGTGCCCTGCTCCCCCGTAAGTTAACTATTCTACTGACAAGGGCTGTGAGCACTGAGGGAGTGTGCTTCGCCTGCTCGCCTCCTATGCTTCTGCTTTCTGACGCAGGGAACCTTTCCTAAGACCCTCCCACACCAAAGAACTGTATTTTCTGTAGTGATTAGCCCAACAACCACAAGCTATTCAAAACAAAGGAATAGCTTTATTTTCTTTGAAAATAAAGGGAGCTAACTCATCCAGAGCTAGTGTTGGAAGCTGCAGTGTGTTGTGCAGACCACAGGAAGAGCCTCAGTTTTCCTTGACAGAGCTGTGAAATGGGAGCAAGGAGGCTTTTCTCCAGTTTCTCTGAAGTGGTTTCAAAATTATGGCTTTTCCCCAGCACTTGGGAGGCAGAGGCAGGCGGATTTCTGAGTTTGAGGCCAGCCTGGTCTACAGAGTGAGCTCCAGGACAGCCGGGACTACACAGAGAAACCCTGTCTAGAAAAAAAAAAAAAAAAAAA